TTACTTGCAGAAGATTGTGTTGTGGGCCAGTATCTGGTCAGTCAAGTGGCTGTTCAGCCTGTCCGGCAGATCATGGATTTTAGCAGCAAAACGCAGCTTCTACCTGCACGGCTGTCAGTGACAAAGAGTAGCCTATGGATCTGGGACACAAAGAAAAGTGACTGCACATGGAGTCGTAAGTTGGTTGTTTCCTAATAAAATTGGAGCGGGACCGGAAGGGGTTCATCCTGAAATTTATGTAAATCTTAGAAATTGCAATAATGTGTGCGAAATAAACATTAGACTGAAATACTGACGTCAACAAGCAAAGTTTAGTATTTGTACAATAATTGGTATTACTATAAGTTTTGAGGTCCAATCAAGATGCTCTGGAAAGGAATGCCTGTGAATGAAATGCAACTATTGTTTATGAAACACCACCGCACCAAACTTTGAACACTCTATCCAATATTCAAATAAAGCGAACATCCCTAAAGGGTACTTCGAATCTTAAAACTGCTCGCCATCGTCTGAAACTTGCTGTTCTATAAATTTACTTGACTAAAACTCGATATACTTGCTGAAGATTGTGTTGCGGGCCAGTTTCTGGATCAGTCCAAGTGGCTGTCAAGCCTGTCCGGGCAGAATCAATGGAGTTTAGCAGCAAACGCAGCTTCTACCTGCACGCATGTCCAGCTGACAAAGAGGTAGCCTCGATCAGGAACACAAGAAAGGACTGCACATGGAGTAAGTTGTTGTTCCTAAAAATTGGAGGGACCGAAGGGGTTCATCCTGAAATTTTTTGTTAATCTAGAAATGCAATAATGTGTGCGAATAAAACAGAGACAGTTATACTGACGTACACAAGCAAAGTTTAGTTTGTACAATAATTGGTATTACTATTACGGTTTATGAAGGTCCCATCACAGATGCTCGGAAGGAATACCTGTGAATGAATGCAACTATGTATATGACTCCACCGCACACACTTTGACACTTATCCAATATTCTAAATAGAAGCGAACCATCCCTAAAAGGGTACATTCGATCTTTTAACTGCTTGCCAGCGGCCTGAACTTGTGTTCTATAAATACTGACTAAAATGACTCTACTTGCAGAAGATTGTGTTGCGGGCCAGTATCTGGATCAGTCAAGTGTGCTTGTCAAGCCTTGTCCGCAGATCAATGGAGTTTAGGAGCAAACGCAGCTTCTACACTGCACGGCATGTCCAGCTGACAAAGAGGTAGCCTCTGGATCAGGAACACAAGAAAGTGACCTGCACAGGGAGTAGTTGTTGCTTTCCTAAAATCTGGAGGGAACCCGAATGGGTTCATCCTGAAATTTATGTTATCTTAGAAATGCAATAATGTGTGCGAATAAACATAGGACTGAAATACTGACGTCAACAAGGCAATAGTTTAGTATTTGTACAATAATTGGGTATTACTATACGTTTATGAGGTCCCATCACAGCAATGCTCGAAAGGAATTCCTTGTGAATGAAATGCAAACCTATTGTATATGAACACCACCCGCACTCACTTTGAAATTATCCAAATTCAAATAAAAGCGAACATCCCTACAAAGGGTACTTCGATTCTTTAAAATGATTGCCAGCGGGCCGGGAACTTGCAGTTCTATAAATACTTGACTAAAACTCGATATTCTTGCAGAAGATTGTGTTGGGGCCAGTATCTGGATCAGTCAAGTGGTGTCAGGCACTGTCGGCAGATCAATGGGTTTGCAGCAAACGCAGTTCTACCTGCACGGCATGTCAGCTGACAAAGAGGTAGCTCGTCAGGACACAAGAAGTGACTGCACATGGAGTAAGTTGTTGTTTCCTAAAAATTGGAGGGGACCGAAGGGGTTCTTCCGGAAAATTTATGTTTAATCTTAGAAATGCAATAATGTGTGCGAATAAACTTTAGACTGAAATACTGAGTCAACAAGCAAAGTTTAGATTTGTACATAATGGTATTACTTAGTTTATGAGGTCCATACAGATGCTCGAAAGAAATTCCTGTGATTGAAATGCAACTATGTATATGAACACCACCCGCACACACTTGACACTTATCCAATATTCAAATAAAAGCGAACCATCCCTAAAAGGGTTATTCGAATCTTAAATGCTTGCCAGCGTGAAACTTAGCAGTGCTAGAAATACTTGACTAAACGACTTATACCTTGCAGAAGATTGTGTGCGGGCCAGTATCTGGATCAGTTCAAGTGGGCTGTCAAGCCTGTCCGGCAGGATCAATGGAGTTTTAGCAGCAAACGCAGCTTCAAACTGCCGGCATGTCCAGCTGACCAAAGATGTAGCTCTGGATCAGGAAAACACAGAAAGTGTAGCCACATGGATTAATTGATGTTCTAAAAATTTGGAGGGGACGAAGGGGTTCATCCTGAAATTATGTTAATCGTAGAAATTGCTAATAATGTGTGCGAATAATAATAGACTGAAATACTGCGTCTACAGCAATGTTTAGTATTTGTACAATAATTGGTAATACTTTACGTTTTTGAGCTTCCCATCACGATGCTCGAAAGGAATTCCCTGTGAATGGAAAATGGCAAACTAATTGTATATGAACACACCGCCACACACTTTGACCACTTATCCCAATATTCAAATAATAGCGAACCATTCCTAAATGGGTACTTCGAATCTTAAACTGCTTGCCAGCGGATGAACTTGAAGTTCTATAAATACTTGATCTACAACCTGACTATACTTGCAGAAGATGTGGGCGGGCAGTATTGGAGCAGTCAAGTGGCTGTCATGCCTGTACGGCAGAATCCATGGGAGTTTAGAAGCAAACGCAGCTTCTACCTGCACGGCCATGCCAGCTGACAAAGAGGTGCCTCTGGATCAGGAACACAAGAAAGTGATGCACATGGGAGTAAGTTGTTGTTTTCCTAAAAATTGGAGGCGACCGAAGGGGTTCATCTGAAAATTTTTGTTAATCTTAGAAATTGCAATAATGTGTGCGAATAAAAATAGACTGAATTACTGACGTCAACAAGCAAAGTTTTGTATTTTGTACAATAATTGGTATTCTATCGTTTCTGAAGGGTCCCATCAAATAAAAAGATGCTCGAAAGGATTTCCTGTGAATGAAAATGCAACTATTGTATATGAACACACCCGCACACACTTTGACACTTATCCAATATTCAAATTAAAGCGATCCATCCCTAAAAAGGGGTACTTCGAATCCTTAAACTGCTTGCAGCGGCTGAACTTGCAGTTCTATAAATATCTTGACTAAACTCGACTATACTTGCAGAAGATTGTGTTCGCGGGCGTATATGGATCAGTCATGTGGCTGTCAAGCCTGTCCGGCGATCAATGGGTTTAGCAGCAAACGCAGCTCTAACTGCACGCATGTCAGCTGACAATGAGGTAGCCTCTGGTTCAGATACACAAGAAAGTGACTTCACATGGAGTAAGTTGTTGTTTCCTAATGAATTGGAGGGGACCGAGGGTTCATCCTGAAATTTATTGTTATTCTTTCTCAGAAAATGCAATAATGAGTGCGAATAAACATTTAGACTGAAAATACTTGCGTCAACAAGCCAAAGTTTAGTATTTGCTACAATAATTGGTATTTACTATACGTTTAGAGGTCCCATCACAGTTGGCTCGAAAGGGAATTCCTTGTGAATGAAATGCAACTATTGTATATGAACACCACCAGCACACACTTTGACACTTATCCACAATATTCATAATAAATGCGAACCATCCCTAAAAGGGTACTTCGAATATTAAACGCTTGCCAGCGGCTGAACTTGCAGTTCTATAAATTCTTGACTAAACTCGACTAATACTTGCAGGAAGATTGTGTTGGGGCATGTATATTCTGGATCAGTCAAGTGGCTGCGCTAAGCCTGTCGGAAGATCAATGGAGTTAGCAGCAAACGAGCTTCTACCTGCTCGGCATGGTCCAGCCTGACAAAGAGGTAGCCTTCTGGATCAGGAACAGCAAAGAAAGTGTCTGCACCATGGAGTATGTTTGTTGTTTCCTAAAACATTGGAGGGGACCGAGGGGTTTCATCCTGAAATTTATGTTAATCTTAGAAATGCAATAATGTGTGCGAATAAACATAGACTGAAATACTGACGTCAACAAGCAAAGTTTAGTATTTGTACAATAATTGGTATTACTATACGTTTATGAGGTCCCATCACAGATGCTCGAAAGGAATTCCTGTGAATGGAATGCAACTATTGTATGTGAACACCACCCGCACACACTTTGACACTTATCCAATATTCAAATAAAAGCGAACCATCCCTAAAAGGGTACTTCGAATCTTAAACTGCTTGCCAGCGGCTGAAACTTGCAGTTCTATAAATACTTGACTAAACTCGACTATACTTGCAGAAGATTGTGTTGCGGGCCAGTATCTGGATCAGTCAAGTGGCTGTCAAGCCTGTCCGGCAGATCAATGGAGTTTAGCAGCAAACGCAGCTTCTACCTGCACGGCATGTCCAGCTGGCAAAGGGGTAGCCTCTGGATCAGGAACACAAGAAAGTGACTGCACATGGAGTAAGTTGTTGTTTCCTAAAAATTGGAGGGACCGAAGGGGTTCATCCTGAAATTTATGTTAATCTTAGAAATGCAATAATGTGTGCGAATAAACATAGACTGAAATACTGACGTCAACAAGCAAAGTTTAGTATTTGTACAATAATTGGTATTACTATACGTTTATGAGGTCCCATCACAGATGCTCGAAAGGAATTCCTGTGAATGAAATGCAACTATTGTATGTGAACACCACCCGCACACACTTTGACACTTATCCAATATTCAAATAAAAGCGAACCATCCCTAAAAATCCAAACCAATGTATAAGCATAATGCAATTAATTTACATTAAGTTAAGTAGTTATTAACTAGACATTTTTGCCCAAATCCAGAATGCCCCACTTCTTATCAAATAAGCTTTATAAATTATGTAAAAATCCATTCTACCTATCCAGAATCATGTTAAATCATCAAATCCCTTAGATGCAGTTGACGGTGGGTACAGTGCGTACACTGCCTCCGGAGCTTGTTCGGTACCATGCGGAGGAGGAACTCAAACCTGGATTAGGACCTGTACTAACCCAGCACCTCAATATGGGGGAGCTGATTGTACGGGGTTGGGTGTGGCCAGTGAAGATAGAGCCTGTAACTCCGAACTTTGTCCAAGTAATACATTAGTAGATTTTTAATCATTAATCGCGTGATCAACGTGAATTTCTATATTGAGACCCAGACTGCCGATCGTGTGTAGATTGCAGAAAATACCAGTAAAGCTTTAACAATTTATTGTAAGCATAATGCAAGTGATTTACATTAAATCGGTTTAACGAGAAATTTTTGCCGAATCCATTTATAATGGTATTATATTTATAAATTGACGTTAAGTGACGCGATCAGCCCCACATTTTGTCGAATTAGCTTTTTAAATCACGACGCAAACTTGGACTTAACACGGCTCCTTATCGTGAAATCGGACCAAACATGAAGTGAAAGTCGTAAGTTTGGAATTGGGTCAAAGAACCCTGCTTCGCGTGAGCTGTATAAATCCATCCAGAATGTTACTTCAATTTTTTAAAAGGAACTGCCGTAAGATCTTAAACGTGATATCACGCATCTGGCGCATTATTGGCTTATATTGAACACGTGACATACTGTTACTATGGTTACAAAATTCATGGCGACTTAAACTTAAAGTCTGAGTCGATGTTGACATGCAGTTTCTTATCTCTATTAGTATTAATAACTATTCACCATTTTTATAATTTCTCACTGTTTCTTTAGATAAACCTTAAAATTTTAGGCCGCAATTTTATTTTTACGTGTAATTTTATTGTGTTCCTGAAGGCATTTTTGATTTTGCCCTGTTTTGTTTTGAAACTACCACTAAAATTTGTTATAAATTTGATCTTTTACTTTCATATTCAATGTCCATGATCAATGATCTTTCGAGCTCTTTGGGTTCCTATTGGTAATTGACAGTTTAAGCTGAAATAATTGTTTGATCGGCACTAACTAAAAGCAAATCTTTAAAAATCGGCCGGTGGTAAGTGGTTTAATTTATGGTTTTGTACCCCAAATGTGATGCAAATGACTTGACTTACTGGACAGTTGACTTATGGCGGCTTCAGAGCCCGAGTCTCGATGATATTTCTCCAAAGCTTTCTGTCTGCCATAAGCTTTTTAATCTCCCTAGTGTTCTTGAGTCCGGTGGTCTGCCCCGCCCTATGGTCCCGTAGCTAGGTCACATGTCGCTGCTTGTGTCCACTGTCCAGCCAACCTCATTCTTCTGGCCTGTATCTTCGAACTCACTCTTGGGAGTGATCCAAATTGACCTCCATGTTGGTGCGATGTTCTCTCCAGTCCACGTTTAGGGCAATCCGTAGGATCCTCCACTTCCTCTAAGGCCTGTCTGTTCTTAGAAGTTATTGTGTGTGACTCCTCTCCTACTAAATTTACTGTGAGATACTTGGTCTTAGACACGTTTATATTCAGGCCAACTATTTTAACGGCTTTAGAAACACATTTTTCAGATATTTTACCGGTATGTCTTCTAAAATAACCAATTTTTTTCAATTTTACCTTTCTGGTATTTTGTGTACAGGACTAATAGGGAGTGTTAATTTTTTTGCGCCCAACACTGGTTATGATTAAATTAATTACGCCCATAGCAATATGAAGCTGCCAAGTAATTTTTGCGATCATCTGCCTATCTCACTATCTGCCTGCGCACGTGGGCAGCTGCCGTGCACGTGGGCAGCTGCCGTGCACGTGGGCAGCTGTCTGCGCACGTGGGCAGCTGCCGTGCACGTACGTCATTATAGTTATACGTCAGACAAGGTGCACGTGAGACAAGGTGTACGTACGTGAGACAAGGTGCACGGCGCTTACTGGTCAAGGCCAAGCAATATCTGTGCCTGGATACAATTCGATAATGAAAAATATGGTGTAGAAGCGTATTCGTAAATTTTTTTAAAATTTTTTTTAAATTTTTCAAATTCTGCACCCCTAATTATAAAAATGATCAAGCACGATAATTGTCATGTTGATGTGCGCCAATTTTTTGTAAATTAATATAACCTATTAAAACGTGCGGGCTGAGTTGGACTCGTCGACTTTACAGTTATAATGACCGCTGTAATGACCGCCAGTCTCACTTTAATTCTTTTCAGGTGTTACTGCATCTGGACCGGCTATAGCAAGCGACGGAATTGCCGCTACCCTTACTTGCAGCCTGTCGGAAATCAGTGCCAGTATGAAGTTAGCCATGACTTCTGGAGCAGTCAAGTGGAAGGGTGGTGATATAAGCGGCGACGTGAGTGCCACTACCAGCGAGTATACTCTGACCAGCGGGGACTACGACACCGCTCTCCTTACACAAGTTGACACTTTTGTCATCTCCACCGCTGTCTTGGCACGGTTGAGTGGGGGGAGTCAGGTGTTCACGTGCGTGTTAACTGTGGATGCCAGTGATATAGGAAGCGATACTCATTCCATGACCGTTATATCCCCTGGTTAGGATCACTTTTTTATTTTATTATATTATCATCTTATCAATTAATTATATAATTATTCAGTTGATTTTTTAATCTTCCTGCAAAGTGTAAACCAATGTAAAGTGTAATTAGTTTAACGTTAGATTATCATTTCTACATTTTAAACATATTTCTACATTTTAAACATATTTCTGCATTTTAAACTTTTAAACATATTTCTACATTTTAAATATATTTCTACATTTTAAACATATGTTTACATTTTAAACATATTTCTACATTTTATGTATATTTCTACATTTTAAACATATATTTTTGTTTTCTTCAGTTATTCAGTTAAACCCAAGCGAATCGTCCGGGAAAGCAACCGGAGATAGCTTTGCACTGACTTGCGAAGCGACGTACGTTGCGGGAGTGGAGTCTATCATCTCCACCTTCTGGACCAAGGACGATGGAAACGTTAATCCTACTTTAACAACTGAAACAACTTACCCCACTTATAGTGGGGGCAAAAGGGTACGTTTGACCCTCTTTTTACCTTCACATATTTAACATATTTACTTGAATATGCTAATTGTGTTCAATATTGTTTATCTAACTTTGATAAATAAAACAACTTATTCCCAATCCGGTGATGTAAACTTGACCATTTTTTTACTCCATTTTGTTGATTAGATTTAGTAGATAAATTGATAATTAAAAACATCGCCCGTGTTCAAAATGGTGCTTCGTAAGATATTTTAAATATGTTAAATGTTAGATAATATGCTAAATATGTTAATTGTGTTAAATATTTTAAATATGCTAAATATATAAAAATCCTTCAGGTCAAGTCCACACTAGCTGTTAGCTACATGCAAAGTACCTATTCTGGAGAATACAAATGTGGAGTTAACTACGGTGGAGATATAATCTACAGTACCGCTACCACTATCAGCGTAGCAGGTAAACTATTTCCACAATAATGGGTCCAGGGGGGCATTCCGCGCCAATACCTAATACCTGGTCGCGTTTCTTGGGTACTGGAATTAATAGTTAACTGGGAGCTGATCGGTCAATATCTATCATACTATCTAGAGTTAATAAATGCTAAATATGCTAAATATGCTAAATATGCTAAATATGCTAAATATGCTAAATATGCTAAATATGCTAAATATGCTAAATATGTTGTTCTCCCTAGGTGTACTATACTTCCCAACACACGCTCTCGTGGTTAACGGGCAAGCTCTGACTATTTCAATCGTCACCGTTACTGACACATCCGCTATATCCGTTGCTTGGTTCAAAGACGACGTGGATATGGTACCTACTGCTAATGCTGCGTACACTATAACAACGGTAACTATGTGGTAACTAGGTGGTAACTACGTGGTAACTAGATGGTACCTATTGTTAATGCTGCGTACACTATAACAACGGTTTAACTAGGTGGTAACTAGGTGGTAACTAGGTGGTACCTATTGTTAATGCTGCGTTCACTATCAAGCTATCACAACTGTAAATAACACGCAGTGCTATTTTAGATTACAGATCCCGGCAAAAAATGTCAAGTAGATTATTTTGTTTAGCTCTATTAGTTTGCCCTATTTTTAACGTCCTGTATTTAAATTTTCGGCTGAATTAATTTTGAAGGATGATTGTCATGTTATCAACAGAATTTGCAAAAAAATGTCAAGTAGATTATTTTGTTGATCTCGGTTCTATGATGTTTGGCATCTCAAATATCAAGTAGACGAATAGTTTGCCTTATTTTTAAAGTCCTATATTTCATGTTATTGACAGAATTTCCAATATTTGATAAGAAACTCCCAAAATAGACTGACACAACAGCTGTAGATAGCAGCAAGATAACAACCTCCACCCTTGTCTGGACTGGGGTTGCTGCTACCAACCAGGACACCACTTTGCACGTGGAACTATCCTCAGACGCGCTCTTCTTGAAGAGCGCCGACTCGCTTGTCAACGTTCTCGGTTTGTGAAAATCGTAGATTAACTACTGTCAAATGTTGCATTAGAAGAAATTAATTTATCGATTATAACTAATTAATCAGAAGTAAGTCCACACTCAAATATTAATTTAACATTTCACACCCACTCCCTCAGAGGTTTACACTCAGCCCCAGGATTACAAGATACTCCGAGGAATTGATACGTATATCTACTGTTCGTTTGAGGGACCTCCTCAACCTTCCATCACATGGCAATCCCACAACTCACTAACTTCGTGAGTTACAAAACTTATCGGTTAAGATAAGCTGTTAGTTTGTTATTCAAGTAGTGACAGTGTGTGTAGAATACTACTGTAACTAGTAGTGTGAGTAGAATACTACTGTAACTAGTAGTGTGTGTAGAATACTACTGTAACTAGCAGTGTGTGTAGCAGTGTGTGTAGTAGTGTGTGTAGTAGTGTGTAGTACTATAAATAATAGAAAACTCCTCAGTACGGGAACCGACGTGACAAACGGGGTTACACAGATCACAGCCCTCGAGCCAACCACTTCTCTAACCGTCTACCAAAGCAGGCTCACTGTCAACGCAGACACGTCTGCTTCTCCTTCTTATTGGTTAGTTTTCAGGTGGTAACTCGGTGGTAACTAGGTGGCAACTGGGTGGTAACTAGAAGTATATGGTAACTTGGTGGTAACTATGTGGTAACTAGAAGTATATGGTGACTTGATGGTAACTAGGTGGTAACTAGATGATAACTAGAAGTATATGGTAACTAGGTGGTAACTAGGTGGTAACTAGGTGGTAACTAGGTGGTAACTAGAAGTATCTGGTAACTTGGTGGTAACTATGTGGTAACTAGAAGTATATGGTAACTAGGTGGTAACTAGGTGGTAACTAGAAGTATCTGGTAACTAATTGGTGGTAACTAGGTGGTAACTAGAAGTATATGAGTATATGGTAACTAGGTGGTAACTAGGTGGTAACTAGAAGTATCTGGTAACTAGGTGGTAACTAGAAGTATATGGTAACTAGGTGGTAAACAGCTACTTTGTGCAGGAGCTGTAAAGCAACTTACCCTTCTTACTCTGGAAAGTACATCTTTACTGGCGGAGAGCTGAACACTAACGTGGCCTGTCTCACACCCATTGGTAAGTGTTTGTTGGGTGGGATAGAAACCTGGGCTACTATAAAGCTATAGGTAGTACTAGTACATAGTGCTTGTTGGGTGGGATAGCAACCTGGGCTACTATAAAGCTATAGGTAGTACTAGTACATAGTGCTTGTTGGGTGGGATAGCAACCTGGGCTACTATAAAGCTATAGGTAGTACTAGTACATAGTGCTTGTTGGGTGGGATAGCAACCTGGGCTACTATAAGTACATAGTGTAAATAAATAATAGATTAATAAATTAGGTGCTATTAAACTTTCATTATCCCTACAATAACCACCTCTCCGACCTTGTGATCACGTGTCCCCAATCAGGTGTTACTGCGGTGTCGGGGCCCACTACCCTGACTGTTGGTGCTACTGCCACCTTTACTGCTAAAGCGGACAATCCCCCTGAACCCCAGTTTGGTTGGAAGTTTAACGGTTATGAAGTAACTTTAGGAAATACAGCAGGAACCCAACTCTCTTCTACTGAGGTGAGGGCTTAGCTTAGGGATGGGGGGGAGCCGGGGGGGCGGGGTAGGTACTATATTAGGGGGGAGGGGCGGGGTAGGTACTCTAAAGGGGGAAGGGGGCAGGGTAGGTACTCTATTAGAAGAATAAACGTATTCTGGGACGGTATTCTTTATCGTTTTTTTATTGAACAACTTTAGATTATTTTAATCTATGAAGCTCTTCATTATGTCAAGTATTTATAATATTATTACTGACCGACCTTTATGTTCAGTACGAGTATGTTTACACTAAACCAAGCATGAGTGTAACGGATAGTGGAGCTTATGGTGCTCTGGCAGTTTATTCAGACTACGGAAAGTCATCACTGGTTACAGTCAATACTAACGTAGTCAGTAAGTAAATGTTAAATATCTTAATAATCTTAATGATCTCAGTTAAATTGTCTAAATATGCCAAATATGCTACAATTTATTTACAGATGATTAAATATGAATTCCATTATCTCTATCTAACTTCATTTCTTTCTCTCAGATGCATGTGCTCGACTTGCAGCCCCGGATAACGGAGAATTAGTATGTGATCCAACCTCATTCTCTACATCTTCAACCGTCATCGGCTCCTCAGTCACTGAAACCATGGTCACGTGTACAGTTTCGTGCAATAGTGGGTACATGGTTAGTGTGCCAAATTTACTGGATTTTTGCCAAATATTTTGTTCGTATTTCATTGTTGCTCTTTTTCCTGTGAGCTTTAACTACAGTAAACACGTTCACAACATTAGAGATGATATCAAAACGTTTAATTAATCATTTAGTTATATTATTATTTAGTTTAAATTATTATTAGTTATATTATAACACTCCAAATATTTCAGCTCCAGACTTCCCAGACCACCTTTACTTGTACGGACGGGACATGGGAACAGAACAGTGTGGTCAACCCTTTCAACGGCGTGAACAAATGTCTTAGTACGTTATTGACCATTTTCCCGAAACTCATATCTCCTTGCAGAATAAATTTGCTAACATACCTAACATACCTAACATACCTAGCATACCAAACACACCTAATATACCTAACATACCTAACATACCTAACATACCTAACATACCTAACATACCTAACATACCTAACATACCTAACATACCTAACATACCTAACATACCTAACATACCTAACATAACTAACATACCTAACATACCTTACATACCTAGTATACCAAACACACCTATCATACCTAACATACCTAACATACCTAACATATCTAACATACCTAACACACCTAACATACCTAACATACCTTACACACGTAACATACCTAACATACCTTATACCTCACACACCTAACATACCTAACATACCTAACATATCTAACATACCTAACACACCTAACATACCTAACATACCTTACACATGTAACATACCTAACATACCTTATACCTAACATACCTAACATACCTAACATACCTAACATACCTAACATACCTAAAGCTCTAAAGTACCTAACACACCTAACACACCTAACATACCTAACATACCTATCCTACCTAACATACCTAACATACCTAACATACCTAACATACTTATCATACCTAACATACCTAACATACCTAACATACCTAACGCACCTAACATACATATCATACCATAATGAGCCTGTCCCCCACAGGAGTGGTTGTACCGAAATCCATCACACTCACCTTCTCTGTGGGTTACGAGCTGCCCTGGCTGGCATCCTGTACTGACTACTACGGTGACTACCTCCGACTAGCCTTCCCTTACCACGTGGCTAACGCTGCTTCTTCTCTTACTTGTCTCTCTGATGGAGACTGTAGTTTGGTAAGTTTAGTACTCCTTTTATCAGAAAACTGGAATATGATTTACACAAACACTCAAATAATTTGGGAATAAGATCGCTAGTTTAAGTTAAATTAGCTATTACTCGCACGTTTTAGCTGAATTAGCTATCACTCGCACGTTTTAACTGAATTAGCTATCACTCGCACGTTTCAGCTGAATTAGCTATCACTCGCACGTTTTAGCTGAAATAGCTGAATTAGCTATCACTCGCACGTTTTAGCTGAATTAGCTATCACTCTAAGCTTGATTCTCCACCAGGACGACAACTACTTTGCCTACGATAACGCTTACGACGCCTGTTATACCACGGGTAACTTCATCTGGCTGAAGGTGAAGTATCAGCAGACAGGTAACACCGGCACGGACAGAAGACTGGAACTCTTCACTGAGTTCTCTGAGTGGGCGCAGTCCACCACCTTCGCTCCGTACACCGTGATGGATACCGCTGCGTGCGTGGGAGCCTGTGCTTGTTGTATTGAGGATTCGTGTTTGAAAGCACCCACCACAATCATGGCTAGACTCAAGTGTTCTTCTAATAAAAGGAGGAGGAGAGCGGCTGAGGATGATTTCCCAACATTGTCATTCGACGCTTGTAAGTTTTAATCATGATTTTTAGATTTTCTGACCGATAGAAGTTCGTTAATTTTGATTTTAAGCAAGTTAAATAAGTGTACTTAATTAATAATAAACATAAAACTACTTTTGTTTCAGTCGCGGGAACTGGAAACGCCTCTCACGTGTCCAGATCTGACGAGATACGCTGTGGTGCTGGATCTGTTCCTCTGGACAATAGTTGTAGTAAGTTCGCATTTCTTATCTCGGTTTAAAGATGAGTTATTCTCAATGCAATAAGTTTAGCATTAATACCAGTTATATCACGAAAGTGATATTTCTTTTAACATATTCAAATAATAACGTTTGTGTTTACAGTGGTGTGCGTAGAAGGAACCTACCAATCCGGTGACCAATGTGTGAGCTGCCCGGCGGGAACATACCAAGACCAGACGGGAACTAGCACGTGTTCTTCGTGCCCGGAGGGCACCAGTACTACCAGTACCGGAGCTACTGCTCCTTCTCTCTGTATACAAGTGTGTCAGATGGAGGAGGTGCGATACGGAGTGAGCGACCCACCTGCTGGGTGGATCGTTAAACTGGGAGAACCCGTCACAGTGAGATGTAACCAGGGCTTCCAGTTGGGAGGACAGAGTATTACTGTTACTCAGTTGAAGACATGCACTGATAAACCTTCTTGCTCACGAGTACAAATCAGCACAACCTCTCTTAACGTTCTGGAAAGTTCCGTTCTTGACCTGAGCTGCAAGATAACCGCCGCCTCTGAGCCAGAACTTTGTCTTTTCTATAAGGACTCGAGGCAAATTAACGCTACTGAACCACTCAGGTGATTGTTTATTTAGACTTACAGCAGATTAACAGTACTGATCCGTTCAGGGTTTTGTTTATTCAGACAAGCGATTATTTATTCAGACTTAGAACAGATTTTTGTTGCCCAAACATTCAAGTGACTTCATTAGTTACCAACTGCCAGTCACCAGCTGAGAGGCGCGATGGATGTCATCTTTGGAGCTGAACTGCATCACTTACATGAGTTCAAGATAAATTATGATTAATATCGCATAATCAATAATGTATAATGTTATATATATATTGTATGGGTAGATTATAACTCGTATGATACCCAACAGTTTGGAAGGAGGCAAGTTCTCATGTGAGACTAGTATCACAATGGTACAGGGCTCTGATGAAGGCTCTTACTCCTGCTCTGCTGTCTGGAGTGATGAAGCTCAGCCTGAACCAAGCAACGAGATTGATATAAGAGTTATGGGTACGTTTATCATCTGCTAACTATTTACTACGGAAACATCAGTGCTACATTTAGCTTGAATTTACTGTTTTTAACTGAAAATTGTTTTCAAATTAGATGCCATAAAATCGTTTTGTTATCTAAAGATTTAACATCTTCAGGACTGACGTTTGACTCAACTGTAACTGTTTATTCTGAGAATTCAGATCACACATTCTTCTGTGCTGCAACTGTTCCTTCCGATTCCGCAGTTATTATTTCTTGGACTAGAAACGGACAGCCGGTGAGTGAAAACTAAAATTTTGGAAATAATCACCCTAACCATTAACCAAATATCACTCTAACCATTATCCAATAATCACCCTTATATATATAACCATTTACCAATATTCACCAAAAACATCGTTGATTATCGAAATGTGGTTAGATATCAAATCGTGTATTTGAGATTAACAATAACGTTGCAGGTGGGAGAGAGACTGACCTCAACGTCCAACCCGGCCATCGGTGTCCTGAATCTGGAGACCATCACCCCGAAAGATCAGGGAGACTACCAGTGCCGAGCTACTTACCTCGGTATAGGTACTATCGTCTCAGATCCTGCTACACTTACTGTTCTAGGCTTCTTAGAGGCTCTCACTGACATGGACTTAACTAAAGGTATGTTATGAGTTGCTGAACTAATCTTAATATGATATCTGAAGAGATTACAGGGCTAACTTAATAAATACCCAGTTCTAGAGTATAGATAAGTTATTGAATACATTTAAACCGTGCTAATGACCCTTTCTTACAATCCCATAACTGTGACGTTGGAACTATTCAGGAAACAGCGTCAGTCTGCACTGCAAACCTACTATGGGAGAAATAACCTGGTCTCTGAACGGCTCCCCGCTCTCCTCTACCTCCACCTCTCTTATAATGGAGAATGTGGGCCAGGAGAACGAGGGTGTCTACAAGTGCCAGGCTGCTCATCAGGGACAAACCCTCTCCTCGTCGGCTAAAGTCACTGTGTCTGGTTAGTTTTATACAGGGTCTCTTTTAATGCTGCATTATCACGTACTTAACAGTAATTGACGAATGATTAATTAATTACAAATAATCTCATTTCATCTCGTGATCCTACTATCAGATACGGGAATTACCCAACATCCTGTGGACACGACACTACAATCTGGCCAACAAGCTACTCTTACCTGTGCTACTAACGCAGACTCGTCGTTCAAATGGTGAGTGTTATCTTTTATTGACAGATTAGTAGTAGTACTACTAGTAATAATAGTAATACTAGAAGATAACTTGACTGTAAAACGATGGTCTTATACGTGGATAATTTGTCTTAACGGTCGCATTAACTCTAGAATAGGTGATTAGTGCCTTTTCCTGTAGTTTTCCCTTTTAATATACCCAACTTTAGGTTTATCAACGAAAAAGAGATCAGCGCTGGAGTTGAGAGCACATCAAAGCAGTCTATCTTGGTCACCTCACCCTTGACTTTGAGATCACGCGTGCAGTGCGTTGTCTCGTCAGGGGACAAAAAATACTTATCTAAAAAAGGTCAGTTTAGTTTTCATTATTATTAGTTTTCTAAAATAGGCCTGCCTGGTTTGATAACTTACGTTCCTTAAAAAGATCAATAAAACCTTTTCTCGGTACTTATTACTGATTTTAATGAATTAAATATAGTTCTAATTGTCGCTATAAAGTGAGTACACTCTTTTTCAGCTCTGGTAAATCTTATTGGTTTCAAGACAATGCCTAAAGACAGCGGTCTACCAGTAGAGGGAGAAGTGTCCCTGATCTGCAGCGTTCTAGGAGATGGGCTCAAACAGTTGGTCTGGATCAGATCTTCTGATTCCAGTACGTGCCTATTAAATAAATAATTTAATAATTTAAGTTGGAAACAATCGAGACTTCGGTACAAGTTGGGCAATATTTTCTGATAAATAACTCTGAATCATAACTCTGATGACTAACTCTGATGACTAACTCTGATTACTAAGTCTGATTACTAACTCTGATTACTAAGTCTGATTACTAACTCTGATTACAAAGTCTGATTAATAACTCTGATTACTAACTCTGATTAATAACTCTGATTAATAACTCTGATTACAAAGTCTGATTAATAACTCTGATTAATAACTCTGATTACTAACTCTGATTAATAACTCTGATTACTAACTCTGATTACTAACTCTGATTAATAACTCTGATTAATAACTCTGATTAATAACTTTGATTACTGACTCTGATTACTAACTCTGATTACTAATTGCAGCTGAGGTCCCCAGCCGTAAGACAGAGAGGTACAATACCGGTTACGCAACTACCAACGTGCTGACTACTAGACAGGAAGGAACTTACTTCTGCAAGGCTACTTTCGAGCAAGGCTTTATCATCGAGTCCGAGAGAGCAAATATCTCTCCAGTCCGTAAGTTGGATATTGAAAGTTGCTTGCGTTCGAATGTGCCCCACGTTATAAGGTACAGTGCACTGCCCTCGAGTGCGCAACCGCGCACTGTTCGCGTTATCGGGCACAGTGCGCAATGTTACGTACATATTAAGATATTAGGTACAGCCTTACCGATTGAACTGACAGAATTTCAATACGGCGTCAGATCAAGCTTCATAACCTGCAGATTTGTGTAACATTTGCTTATCATCACAGGAGTGGACTTGTCTGTTGAAACTGTAGCTCTGGGAGATGATATAACACTCACGTGTACTGTTACTGGGGCTATTAAAGCAGATCTGGTCTTCTGGACTAAGGACGGAGAACTTATGTTCAACGATAAGAGGTTTATTTTATAAAGGAGCACTAAGCACTTTTTATATCCCATCTTAGTTTCATATAGTTAATGTTTATTTTATATCCCATCTTAGTTTTATATGAGTGAGAATATGTTACCTTTTACAGGGTTAATTACCTTGCTTCGGCCCTTTAAAAAGGAAAGAATATATCTGTCTGTATATAACCCAAGTTGGTATTATTTCAGTATTAGTCACGTGCCTGGATCCGTCACATCCTACAGTTACCTAACCTTGAACTCAGTTCTCACCTCTGACATGGGAGAGTACCGCTGTGCTGCCTCCATCCTGTCAGATCTAACAGTGTACGGATCTGAACCCGCTCCCCTCAAACTACTGGGATTCATTGACGTAGTATCTGATATCGTGGTCAAGAGAGGACAGCTGACTGAGGTGGTATTCAGTGTTCGGCACCAGGACGGAGTCAAGGTGTCATGTGATCTGTCACAAGGTGCCGTGCAGATCAGTGACGGTGATCACCATGGTGACGCGGTGAAGTTCCGAGGAGAAGTGATAAGTGTGGGTGAGGAGGTGAAGGAGATTCAATACAGCTGTTCTGTTTCTTACGGAGCTGATGTAGTTATCAAATCTGATTTAGCAAAGATCTATATCGTTGGTAAGTCAATGTTGAGAATATTGCAGATCAAGTATATCACATTACACGAAAACGATTTGCCATCTAATATACCCTAATAGTTATTAAGTTATCAATATCAGTAATTTAATAAACTTTTTGCACAGATGAACCCACTCTGGAAGTAGATAGTTCTCGCTACGTGCTGATCGGAGAGGAGGCGCTTCTTACCCTGACTGCAAACTACATAACTAACGTGCCTGCCGTTCATTGGAAGGTCAACAGTTTGAGAACTATACAATTCTCTGGCTCCTACACCAGTAAGTCGCTTCTACTTTATTGAATGAGTGGTTAATGAGTGATTAATAATTGTTTACTAATTAGTAACTTACACCAGTAAGTCACTTCTACTTTGAAAAACTTAAAAAGTGAAGAGATTGAAATATATTGCGACCAAAATAGCGAGCCTTTGTTATTGGTTATAGAATAACCCACAACCATTGAGTTAACTCAAATTGGGTTGATTAGTAAGCACTGGTTACTAAGTGGTTACATAGGTGGTTACTAAGTGGTTATTAGGTGGTAAATAAGTGGTTACTAAGTGGTAACTGAGCTAACAGCCCTGCCCCCAGGTTCTGAGTATACCAGCACCCTACAGTGGCCAGTCACTCAAGACATAGAGGTCGAGGCTACAGTTCACTACGCTGACGTCGGAGGGTATTCTGTCAGGAGAGCTGTCGTGCTCGCTTACGGTATGTTTGCAGTTCGGAATGCTGTTATCTGTTTTCAGTTCGGAATGCTGTTATCTGTTTGCAGTTAAGAATGCTGTTAGTGTTATCTGTTTGCAGTTCGGAATGCTGTTATCTGTTTGCAGTTCGGAATGCTGTTATCTGTTTGCAGTTCGGAATGCTGTTATCTGTTTGCAGTTCGGAATGCTGTTATCTGTTTGCAGTTCGGAATGCTGTTATCTGTTTGCAGTTTTTTTACAAGTTTTTAAACCTTTAAACAGTTTTAAAAGTTAGCTATTTAATCTTCTTAATCTAAGATGTAGCTCAGCAAGTCTTGTGCTCAGTTCTGCTTACATTCGAATGTATTAATTAGAAATTGGTAATGTTATTATCATTACTGTTATTAAGAAATGGGCAGGATAAACCACAGCATTCCTCTCTGTACACTGTTTGATTTTGGAATGTTGACTCCATCTTTTCTGCTGAACTCCAGATTATAAATGGAAAAATATATGTTAAATTTGCTCCTATTACCTGATATATTGACATTTTTATCTACTCAGGAGTGGAAGGAGTAACCGGACCGGAGAAGGTGCACCTGGGAGAGAGTTACAACCTGACTTGCTCTGTTGCTACAATAGATGAGAATACCGAGATCACTTGGTACCGAGCTGATAGTCCAGTTCTACCCCACTCTACCCTCTACTACGATAACAAGGTTACTAAGTGGTTACTAAGTGGTTACTGAGTGGTTACTAACTACCAGTCACAAGCTATTAACTCTTTCAGACAGGAATTTTTTAGTGTATTATAGAAGAAAATAATAACATCGATAAACTGTTAACTGACCTTCCTTTCAGATATCATCAGTTTTGTATCTACCCGAAGTGGAAGCTAGCGATATTGGTATTTATACTTGTACCGCGGTATTCTCTGACGGAAAACAATCCTCAGGAGCCTTCTATGTTACCCAAACCAGTGAGTAATGTTCAGAACCTCCCCCCCCCCCCACGATTAACTATATTTATCTCAAAACATTGCGTATAACTCATACATGTCAGCATGCTGATTTCTCATTTATATCTTGAAATAGCACTGTTACCTCCACATATACCTGATAACATTTCCCCTTACTGCAGATGACTGTAAATTACCAAGCATTGAGAACGCCGTCATGGACTCAAGCTCCGACATTATCTCTCATTTGGGTGAACTGAAGGTGAACTGTGGGGATGAGACAATCGTTATCAAGTGTCAACACGGTTCCTGGGACCAGACTCTCGTCTTCTGCCCTGGTAATTAATTATATGATTAGCTAATATTTAAGGGGGAGGGGGGGGGGGGGGGGGGGGGGGGGGGGGGGGGTGTTCAGTCTGAAATTTTTGTGAAATTGATTCTGATCCTTAGCAGTTGACCAACAAATTTGGACCCCTGACCAAACTTTTGAGGGGGTCCCGGACCCCAACCGCCCACCGGTGCAGCCAACTAGGCCAAATCACCTTAATATGCCCAAAATCCAGATGTTACACAAAATGGCTGAGTCATGAGCCAAAAACATATGCCCATATTTGGGCATACGCACCAAATTTTGGCCCATATTTGAGCCTGGCTGCACCACGAGCACCGGTGGGCGTTTGGGGTCCAGGACCCCTCAAAAGTTTAGTCACGGGTCCTAGGTTTTTGGTCAACTGCTATGTCAAAATCAAGTTACACCAAAATTTGAGGCTGAACAACAACCCCCCCCCCCCCCCCCCCCCCCCCCCCCCCCCCCCCCCCCCCCCCCCCCCCCCCCCCCCCCCCTTAAATAATTAGCTAATCGAATGTTTGAAACGTTTTGCTAAATTTACAAACTCAAAATACCAATGATATCCTTACATTCCTCTCAGCGTCACAGACCAGCTGGAACATAATCGGTATTGTGGTGGTTGCAGTTCTGCTTGTTGTTGGTGTCGGTGTGTTCTTCTTCTACAAGAAACAACATACCAGGGCAGTATCTCCCTCTCTACCCGAATCTGGAGCTGACTCTGTTGAAATGTACAAGAGACAGTGGAAGGACCATTCTGAAGTCATCAATAATCCAAGTGAGTTGATTTTACTTGTTTGTCTTATGTGTTGCTTTAACAAGGTAACTAAGTGGTAACTAAGTGACGACAGATCTGTTCTAATTTTAACCACGGTATTCAACAGCCGCAATGGAGAACGTGGACCTGGATACTCAGAATCACCAACAACTGGAAAGAACAATGACTCAAATATCCAGCTAATTATCAGCTATTTATCAGCTTATTAGCTAATTGGTTTAGAAGACTAAATGTCTAGGATTTGTAGGCTTAGAGAACGCAGGCTGTGTAACTAGACTTGTAAAGACTGTTAGAGTTATACTTTTCAGATTATATCTAGGTACTGTATTTTCATTGGCCCAGATGTTACTTTATAAATGCAGGTATTAATTTAAGTTACTGTAATTATTGACCCGAAAAGTACAATCTGGATTCAAATTAAAACAGTCTTGTAACATACCAACGAGTAAAAATTATAAAGGCGAGTTTGATACTTCTGTATATAACCAGCTTTTCAGATTATTTCTAGGTACTGTATTTTCATTGGTCCAGATATCACTCTATGGCCCATATATCACTCTATAAATGCAATATGCATGTATTAATTTAATTTTAAGTTACTGTAATTATTGACCCAAAAAGTACAAAATATTCACATAACATTAATATTAAAAGTTTAAATTATAAATGCAAGTTTGATACTTCTGTATATAATCAGCTGAATATTATTCTGTATTTATAGCGATGTAATTGTAAGTGACCCAGTTTACATAAACAACGTTTTTTCATGAGATATTAAGTTGATTTTTGTATCTTTTATAATTAAACATTAAAGTTTTTTTAGATTCCGGTTATGTTTGAGCTAAAAGTTAGCTTTAGACTTAGACTATAAAATGATTATAAATTAAACATCGTGTCTTTGTCATATCATTATTAAAAGTGTATTCGACTTCTATTCGTGTTTTTCTTTGTACATCATATTCCCATTACATTTACATAAAATGGCAAATACTATATCATTGATCATGAATTTCTCCGAAAATTCATATTCATTCTGTTTTCTGAATTCAGAACACAGAATGAATATGAATTTTCGGAGAATTCATGAAGTTCTTCCTAAAGTCAACATGTGTTGACAAAATTAAAAAGGAAATCGTTTCAAATTTGTATTTTGAATCACCTCTACAACATACAAGCTTCTTCATTTGCAATTTGTACTTTGCTCGAATAGATTGTAGATGCAAAATGAGACAAGCGTACGTTTTTGCGTTCCACAAAATCACTTGCCAAGGATTTCTTATTTCATACATATAAGAACTCTGGGTATATTAAATAAAAGTCGCAACATTTGTCATTTGATGTTTTCTTCCATGCCGATTCCGAAACACCCCCATAACTTCACCGTTTATGTTAATGTTTGTTTGACGGCTCTGCAAGGTTAGATGACATACTCACATATATATTAGGGTCGCTAAACTAGTGGGCTTTTACTAGCTCGCCTTAAAATTATCACGTGACTTTGGTTTCATGATTTTGCAACCGAACAAAGTGGTTTTACATTAACCCTAATCCCAACTATAACCGGAAGTGTAACCCTAACCATAACTCCGAAGCTAACCACAACCCTAACCACAACCCTAACCCGAGCCCTACGACAGGCTAGGTATGTTAGATGTGTTTGGTATGCTAGGTATGTTAGGTATGTTAGGTATGTTAGGTATGTTAGCAAATTTATTCTGCAAGGAGATGAGTTCCGGGAAAATGTTCAATAACTTACTGAGACATTTGTTCACATTGTTGAAAGGGTTGACCACACTGTTTTGTTCCCATGTTCCGTCCTTACAAGTAAAGGTGGTCTGCGGGAATTCTGGGGCTGAAATATTTGGAGTGTTATAATATAACTAATAGTAATAATAATTTAAACTAAATAATAATATAACTAAATAATTAATTAAATGTTACGATATCATCACTAATGTTGTACTTACTTATACTTCAACTTGTACTTGATTAGGTCTCCTCGACTCCTCAATCATTCGAGTGGCCTGCACCATGACCATGCAATGAACTGATTTATTGAACTCCCGTTTATGTCGTATCATCTCCCTCCAGTGTTTCGTGTTTGCGGTCACTAGCCATCTCGCTCGCTCCTTCTAGATCTGGATGATGATTAATCACTCTACACTCGTCTGTCACGTGACTTTTTCAACCCGTTCTCTAGCTGGTCCTGAACAACTATTCGAAACCCTTACCCTCTAATTTGATCCCAACCCTAACCCTAACTCAATCCTTAACAAAAGCATATGCTGAAACCCCAACCCTAACGAGAAATTAGACTAACTTCCTTATACGGTCATATCACGTTATCGAGACAGTTTTTCGCCAATATCTCGTCAGGGGAGCATTTTAAAAACGCTGCAGCATCTTCTAGCATTCATTTTATCCAGTTCTTTCTTGGACGACCCCTAGATCTTGTCCTATGCACAGGGATCCAGTTAGGCAGGTACTTAGGCAGCCTAGTGTCTGGCATTTTGGTGGCATGGCCGAACCAGCGCAGGCAGTTTGCTCCTATATACGTCTTTACTGGATTTATCCTTGCACGCTCTTTTGAGTTTCTAACTCGGTCGAGCCATCTTATCTTAAATATTCTCCTCAAGCAACTTGTATCACGTGGTGACCCCCACTGTCGCTTCACTATAGTGTATCGTCTTCGACTATAGTGTATCGTCTTCGACGATACAGGGGGAGCCGCGCACTTCGTGCGCGGCGGGTCATACAACGTATGACAACAAGCAACGTAATGTAACTGCTTTTTTATTGTGTTCCAAACCTCACTATCATATAAAAATATTGTCAAAACTGCTACGGGTGCTACTCTATAAAACTGCTACGGGTACGGTGCTACCCTATAAAACTACTACGGGTGCTACCCTATAAAACTGCTACGGGTGCTACTCTATAAAACTGCTACGGGTGCTACTCTATAAAACTGCTACGGGTGCTACCCTATAAAACTGCTACGGGTGCTACTCTATAAAACTGCTACGGGTGCTACTCTATAAAACTGCTACGGATGCTACCCTATAAAACTGCTACGGATGCTACCCTATAAAACTGCTACGGGTGCTACTCTATAAAACTGCTACGGGTGCTACCCTATAAAACTGCTACGGGTGCTACCCTATAAAACTGCTACGGGTGCTACCCTATAAAACTGCTACGGGTGCTACCCTATAAAACTGCTACGGGTGCTACCCTATAAAACTGCTACGGGTGCTACCCTATAAAACTGCTACGGGTGCTACTCTATAAAACTGCTACGGGTGCTACTCTATAAAACTGCTACGGGTGCTACCCTATAAAACTGCTACGGGTGCTACCCTATAAAACTGCTACGGGTGCTACCCTATAAAACTGCTACGGGTGCTACTCTATAAAACTGCTACGGATGCTACCCTATAAAACTGCTACGGATGCTACCTTATAAAACTGCTACGGGTGCTACCCTATAAAACTGCTACGGGTGCTACCCTATAAAACTACTACGGGTGCTACCCTATAAAACTGCTACGGGTGCTATCCTATAAAACTGCTACGGGTGCTACCCTATAAAACTGCTACGGGTGCTACCCTATAAAACTGCTACGGGTGCTACCCTATAAAACTGCTACGGGTGCTACTCTATAAAACTGCTACGGGTGCTACTCTATAAAACTGCTACGGATGCTACCCTATAAAACTGCTACGGATGCTACCTTATAAAACTGCTACGGGTGCTACCCTATAAAACTGCTACGGGTGCTACCCTATAAAACTACTACGGGTGCTACCCTATAAAACTGCTACGGGTGCTACCCTATAAAACTGCTACGGGTGCTACCCTATAAAACTGCTACGGGTGCTACCCTATAAAACTGCTACGGGTGCTACCCTATAAAACTGCTACGGGTGCTACCCTATAAAACTGCTACGGATGCTACCCTATGAAACTGCTACGGGTGCTACCCTATAAAACTGCTACGGGTGCTACCCTATAAAACTGCTACGGGTGCTACCCTATAAAACTGCTACGGGTGCTACCCTATAAAACTGCTACGGGTGCTACCCTATAAAACTGCTACGGATGCTACCCTATGAAACTGCTACGGGTGCTACCCTATAAAACTGCTACGGGTGCTACCCTATAAAACTGCTACGGGTGCTACCCTATAAAACTGCTACGGGTGCTACCCTATAAAACTGCTACGGGTGCTACCCTATAAAACTGCTACGGGTGCTACTCTATAAAACTGCTACGGATGCTACCCTATAAAACTGCTACGGATGCTACCCTATGAAACTGCTACGGGTGCTACCCTATAAAACTGCTACGGGTGCTACTCTATAAAACTGCTACGGGTGCTACCCTATAAAACTGCTACGGATGCTACCCTATAAAACTGCTACGGTGCTACCCTATAAAACTGCTACGGGTGCTACCCTATAAAACTACTACGGGTGCTACCCTATAAAACTGCTACGGGTGCTACCCTATAAAACTGCTACGGGTGCTACCCTATAAAACTGCTACGGATGCTACCCTATGAAACTGCTACGGGTGCTACCCTATAAAACTGCTACGGGTGCTACCCTATAAAACTGCTACGGGTGCTACCCTATAAAACTGCTACGGGTGCTACCCTATAAAACTGCTACGGGTGCTACCCTATAAAACTGCTACGGATGCTACCTTATAAAACTGCTACGGGTGCTACTCTATAAAACTGCTACGGGTGCTACCCTATAAAACTGCTACGGGTGCTACCCTATAAAACTGCTACGGATGCTACCCTATGAAACTGCTACGGGTGCTACCCTATAAATCATGATCTTTGCATCAGTGTAAGATTTATTGTTGCGGTTTTTCCATATATTATTATTACTGAGTTGGTTGAAGGTTTCGGAAGCTTTTTGAATCCTAGCAGACAGGTCACGGTCGATAGTGCCGTCAATGGAAATAGTTGTACTGTAGTAAGTACGTAAAGTCTCTAACTTGCTGCACTAGCTGTCATGTCTTCAACTGTGGCTTCCTTCGTCATCGTGTATGGCTGTTGAGAGGTTGCTTTACCAATTACCAGAGCTTCAGTCTTTTTACCATTAATTCTGAGACCTCCAGGCCTTGGGCACCATACTTACACAAAAGGTCAATTGTTTCTTCATAATCCATATCTAACACAGTGATATCATCAACAAGCGGACTGATAGATCTTAGACGAACCGCTCCGTCGCGTGAGACACTGTCACTACTTTGTTGCTTTCTGTGAGTGTGACTGTTATCTTAGCAGCCACATTGAGGCTGCAGCGTAATGCACTACTGGGCCGCGCATCAAATAACGTTTTTCGCAACTACACTTCGCTAAATGAAGATCTGCCAAATGCACCACATGCAGTTGCATGGCACTTTACCTGGGGACCTCAGGCTATTGTTCATAAACATAGAATAGAGATTCGGTGGAATGACAGGCTGAGCGCGGCCCAGTAACATGGCACTGGGCCGGGCCATGGGCCTCGTTGTAGCACGATGCACTACTGGGCCTCGCCGCGCATCTTCTCGCAACCACATGACAGCTTATGCAGATCGGCGAGATGCGAAGGATTGACATTGTGAATCAATTAGTAGTCTCGCCGCGGCCGAGCTGTACTGAAGGATTGACATCGTGAATCATCATTGAGGCAGACATTGAAAAGTGAAGGACCTCGAATGTCTCCTTGGCCACTACCAGAATTTATTTCAAACGCCATGATCTGACAATTTTAATTCATCGTAGCTCTCGATATAATATTAATACGAAAGTGTTGAAAATGGCTTGGACCGAACATTTTCTAACTCAAAATTTTTTCCCTAAAAACCACTTTTTTCCACATTTTATGTTAATGTTAATTGACGATTTCACATAGCCATGTGTATACGCGTGATATATATGCGTGACGCGCTTGTTTGCGAGAGGGCTCTGGTTAAGGCAAATTGACGATGTCAATTGATGGCAGCTCGGCGCGACGGCGCGGCACAGTAGCGCATTTCGCCGATCTAGCCGTTACGAAAATCAGCTGGTTCATAAAATTAATGAAGAAGATTCGAATACACGATTTAAAATAAAAGTAGAAACGTAATCGAAAGACAAACTGAACAAATGAGGATTTCGTCTTGAAACGAGCTATATATAGAGTATAACGTAGCGCTCGACTCCAAATAGAATTCAAATAAAAATGCGCTCCGGTAGTTTCAACTCCCAGCAGCTGGGAGTTGGAAAACTGGAATTCACGTTGCTGTCGCTGTGAGAAGCCTCATTGAGTGCGCGGCGCGGCACAATAACGCATCGCGCTACAAATGTTAATGTTACGCTCTTTATTATTATTCTTATAGCCGAATTTTTTTTTTGGTTTTTCGAAGTAGTAGTACTCAGAAACTACGGACCGAAAACAAAGTTTCCTTCTAGCCGAAGGCTTGATACATGTTTCGTATCCAAATATCGGAAATATTATTTCCCGCCTTCGGCGACGCGCGCGTCGCGGCCGAAAAGTGGCATGCAACGAATATCAACCGAAGGCAAGAAGATTGTAGGAAATAAGTAATCGGGTATAAATATATAAAGTGGCCCGCGACGGTCCTACGGTGACGACAAAATCTACTCCATACTCATTCGCAATATAAACCACTCCCCTATAAATATGATCAATAATTCACGGGTCCGTAATCCGTATTACTATTGCCCGATTTAAGTTAGCGGGCGCCTAACGGAGATGCACTAAAATGCAGCATTTATACCTAATGGATTGCTAGCGGAGTATAGGCATAGCGGACACCGGTGCAAACTAGCTAAGAAAAGTACTAGCTTCATTAACACATCCGCTAGTTTCCGCTAGCTATCCGATGTTGGCGTTGCCGCTAGGTCCGCTTACCGCTATAATTTTCTGTAACTTAAATCTGCAAAATCGGCTATATACGGACCCGTGAATTATGTGTATTGGAACTATATAGCGTCTGTTTTGCTGCGCGCGACGCTAGCCGCACCATGTGTTAATTAATTACAGTGAAGTTCCTCCTTCGGAAAGTTATTTTCCGCAATTTTCTGGATTAATTAATTGTTGATGCGCGCGGCGCTTAATTGGTCAAATAAATTGTCAATGTTTTACCATGCGCGAATCTCACTCATTTATTAAAATTAAAAACATAGTCTGATAGTCATAGTATGTAAATATGTTGCACTTTTTTCAGTCACACTTTTCACTCGAAAGAATTAATGGTACAAAATACAAATACATCGTAGGGAAAATTAGTCGTGCGTGGATTAGAGTTAAAATGTGACAAAAAATATGCATTTCAAGATTTTAGAAAATACTTGTTGTCGCCAGCGCTAGTTGTCATAGTAGAGGCTCTTACGGGCATTGTCTGCTCGATACGCTAAGGACCCCAGATACACCTTACTAGACGTATTTTTGACCGTAGAATCGATTAAAAGTGGTTTAAAGATGATTGGATTGACTTTTTTTGGGGTAAAATTGCAAAAAACCGATTTTTGGGCAAAAAATAGGCCAAAAAACCATGTTTTTTGATATTTGAACAAGTTAATTTTGTTGGCATGTCGGCAAAACTTGCATGGAGATAGCTATAACACAGCCGCACAAGATGATATAAAAATTTGAAAAATACCTCTATTTTTTTGGGGGTAAAAATTCAAAAAAAGTGGTAAAAAATGTTGACTTTTTTGCTTGAAGTTTGAATATTTTTTTGCAGTTGTATTAAATCAATCCAAAAATAGTCACATCGTGTTTGCCTAAATGTTTCCTTTCCGAGAAGTACCCACTTCATATACTTAATCGAAGTTTGAATATTGTCACTCCGCAAGCGTTTTTGCCAAATTTTCGACGCGCACTACGCGCAAAAGCATTTAGTTGTTATCAATTGGCACCCGCGCGTTCATCATAAATTTCAAACAGCTATAACTCAGCGAGATTATGTCCGTTCTAGCTCATATTTTCACACCAAATAGAAAATAATGTGATCTTATTGCTGACAAAATATGAATATAATTACTCTATTTGCCTTAGAGTATTAGACTGTCAAAGTTTAAAACGCGCATTGGTATAGCACGTGACTAATAAGGCCAAATTTATACTTCTTAACATATTATCGATCCTTAGACATCATACTATTGTGTCCAATTAGCGGTTAGGTCTCTAAACTCGTAGCAGAAAACACGTCTTTTTGCCCGTAAGAGCCTCTACTATCATGTCGCGTTTACACTTTCGCAAAAAAACCGAATTATGATGTACAAATCTTATGGAAGTTGGGGGACTGTTTTGGAGCTGGAGAGCGTCCAGAGCCGGTTTACCCGTCTCATTGATGAGGTGGGTACTCTTCCTTACATGCAGCCGTAGACTGGATATCCTTAATTTGACAACGTTGGCAGAGCGGCGAATACGTGGGGACCTTATTGAAGCTTTTAAGGTAATTAATGGTTTGACTGATTATGGTTCAGACTTGTTCAGACCAAGCAGATCAGGTGTTTATATGGTTTCATCTAATAGAAGTAGTAAGAGTACGTGTGACAAAGGTCAAGAATATCCAGTGTTTTTTTCTTCCAGAGCGGGTTGTTCCTTATTGGAACAAACTCCCTTCGGAGGTAAAGAACTGCTAGACAGTTTTGAGTTTTAAAATTGGATCGGAAATTTTTATAAATGATATAATTTCTAAAAGTAAATGTATCAGTATTGTAAATGACTTTCATTTTTGGAATGTTTCGAAAGAAGTTTTAACAAGAATTGAAGGTACCAGTTATGTCAGTAATAAGGAAAAACACAATGATTATCTTCGGTTTCATCCTTATGTAGCAAAGAAACGTTTTATAAATCTTTATTCCACTGGGAAGTGTGAATAAATTAAATTTTTTAAATGTTGTTGTTATTCATGATTGATATTTGATAATTTATTACTTTTAAATTTGATGGAGAAATAGTTACTGTATATTTTTCCATGTAGTGCGATGATACTTTGTAAACATTAGTGATGATGTAATGTCATAATTTTTACATTACTTTACTTTACTTTAAGTAAAACACGAATAGAAGTCGAATATACTTTTAATAATTATCTGACATTGACACGATGTTTAATTTATAATTATTTTATAGTCTAAGTCTAAAGCTAACTTTTAGCTCAAACATAACAGCTGAATCTTAAAAAAATTTAATGTTTAAATAATGATAAAATATACAAAAATCAACTTAATATCTCATAAAAAAAGATGTATTAATGTAATCTGGGTCACTTACATCGCTATAAACACAGAATAATAATCAGATTAGATATTGCGCACACAATCCGGTGAACGCTCTTTTTAGCCTGTAGGCTACTGCGTACCCCGGTTGGCAGTTACTCACAAATTCCGAACTCTCCATTTTAAATTTTAATATTCAGTACCCTTCACTTGCCACATATATGATTAATTATTCTCATCATTCACCATATTACAAAATGTATTTAATTCTGTCTAAGTGAAAACAAGGTAAATGAGATATATTAGTGATACAATATATTATGTGAGAGTAAATTGAAATTGTATAATTATACATATAAATTGATAATTTTGATAAATTGTAATTTGATTTGAATTTGAATTTGAATTTGAATCAGCTGATTATACAGACAAGTATCAAACTCGCATTTATAATTTAAACTTTCAATATTAATGTAGTGTGAATATTTTGTACTTTTTGGGTCAATAGTTACAGTAACTTAAAATTAAATTAATACAGGCATTATTACATAGTAACATCTAGGCCAATGAAAATACAGTACCTAGAAATAATCTGAAAAGCTGGTTATATACAGAAGTATCAAACTCGCCTTTATAATTTTTACTCGTTGGTATGTTACAAGACTGTTTTAATTTGAATCCAGATTGTACTTTTCGGGTCAATAATTACAGTAACTTAAATTAATACCTGCATTTATAAAGTAACATCTGGGCCAATGAAAATACAGTACCTAGATATTATCTGAAAAGTATAACTCTAACAGTCTTTACAAGTCTAGTTACACAGCCTGCGTTCTCTAAGCCTACAAATCCTAGACATTCAGTCTTCTAAACCAATTAGCTAATTAACTGATAATTAGCTGATAATTAGCTGGATATTTGAGTCATTGTTCTTTCCAGTTGTTGGTGATTCTGAGAATCCAGGTCCACGTTCTCCATTGCGGCTGTTGAATAACGTGGTTAAAATTAGAACAGATCTGTCGTCACTTAGTTACCACTTAGTTACCAGTTAGTTACCTTGTTAAAGCAACACATAAGGCAAAAAAGTAAAATCAACTCACTTGGATTATTGATGACTTCAGAATGGTCCTTCCACTGTCTCTTGTACATCTCAACAGAGTCAGCTCCAGATTCGGGTAGGGAGGAAGATACTGCCCTGGTGTGTTTCTTGTAGAAGAAGAACACACCGACACCAACAACAAGCAGAACTGCAACCACCACAATACCGATTATGTCCCAGCTGGTCTGTGGCGCTGACAGGAAGGGTAGTTTAACATCGGTATTTTGGGTTTGTTCTTAAGTAAATTTTATCAGAATTATTCAAACAATTATGGGTGCGGCTGCACCGTTGGGCGGTTGGGCTCCGGGACCCCCTCAAAAGTTTGGTCAGGGGTCCTAGTTTGTTGGTCAACTGCTAAGTCAGAATCAATTTCACAAAAATTTCAGACTGAACCCCCCCCCCCCCCCCCTTAAATAATTAGCTAATCATATAATCAATTACCAGGGCAGAAGACGAGAGTCTGGTCCCAGGAACCGTGTTCACACTTGATAACGATTGTCTCGTCCCCACAGTTCACCTTCAGTTCACCCAAATGAGAGATAATGTCGGAGCTTGAGTCCATGACGGCGTTCTCAATGCTTGGTAATTTACAGTCACCTGTAAGGGGAAATGTTATCAGGTATATGTGGAGGTAACAGTGCTATTTCAAAATATAAATGAGAAATCAGCATGCTGACATGTATGAGTTACGGCAATTTTTTGAGATAAATATAGTTAATCGTGGGGGGGGGGGGGGAAGTTTTGAACATTACTCACTGGTTTGGGTAACATAGAAAGCTCCTGATGATTCTTTTCCGTCAGAGAATGCTGCGGAACAAGTGTAAATACCAATATCGCTAGCTTCTACTTCAGGTAGATACAATACTGATGATATCTGAAGGGAAGGTCAGTTAACAGTTTATCGATATTATTATTTACTTCTATAATCTTATAATATAGGGGGGGGGGGGGGGGGGCCAACCATATTAAAGTATATTAAAATGTAGGATTTTTCCCGATTTTGACCCGGGGATATACTTTAATATACTTTAATATACCTACAATATACTTTAATATATCCCTATCTCCTTGGCAGCCTACATCAAAAATTGTTGCCCAAAATAAGCTTGAAATGCAATTCTTAATCGATTCCAAAAAGTTCTTGAAAAAATATTGAAAACTGATAGAGTTATTTCAATTTTAATGAAGTCATTTTGGCTAGTATTCCGAACCGAGATATTATGTGCAATTTTCCCAATTTTGTTCATGGAGGTCTTTTTACTTAGTATCCACTATATTCAACAAACACTGAGTTATATCTTTCACATAGAGTTAGTCTCATTGAAAAATATTGAAATTTTATCGAATTTGGGCAAAAGCGAATTTGGGCAAAAGCGTATGCCCAAATATGGGCATATTTTTGTAAGCTCATAGCTCAGCCAATTTTTGACCAATCTGGATGGAAATTCATGTACTAGTCCTAAAACAGGCTTATCTTGCGAATCTGAGTGAAAAATATAGTTCATCATGTAAAGTAGTATATTAAAATGTAGGATTTTTTCCGATTTTGACCCGGGGATATACTTTAATATACTTTAATATGGTTGGCCCCCCCCAATATACTAAAAATTCCTGTCTGAAAGAGTTAATAGCTTGTGACTGGTGGTTAACCACTCATTAACCACTTAGTAACCACTCAGTAACCACTTAGTAACCTTGTTATCGTAGTAGAGGGTAGAGTGGGGTAGAACTGGACTATCAGCTCGGTACCAAGTGATCTTGGTATTCTCATCTATTGTAGCAACAGAGCAAGTCAGGTTGTAACCTTCCCCCAGGTGCACCTTCTCCGGTCCGGTTACTCCTTCCACTCCTGAGTAGATAAAAACATCAATATATCAGGTAATAGGAGAAAATTTAACGTATATTTTTCCATTTATAATCAGGAATTCAGCAGAAAAGATGGAGTCAACATTCCAAGATCAAACAGTCTACAGAGAGGAATGACGTTATTTTTTTAGTCCGCCCTTTTCTTGATAACAGTTAAGGGCGACATTTGTCCGACAGCGACATCTGTCCGACTCAGAAAATAGGTCATTCGGACAATAGTTTATGTTGCATCCTACCGTACGATTTTCTTGAAACTTTCCATAAAGTATGGTGGTTATAGGACAGATAATCTGTGTAAGTTTGAACGAGTTTTTATATGCCAAATTTGAGATATCACCTTAAACACACAAAATATCTCCAATTCGGTGGTTTGCAGTGTAATATATCCAAGGCATATATCTGGAGATCCAACGATACGATTTTCTTGTAACTTTCTAGATAGTAAGATAGCTTTAAGACAAATAATTTGTGCAAGTTTGGGTGAATTTCTATGTGCCAAATTTGAGATATCACTTCAAACACAAAAAATAGTGCTGTCGGACAGATGTCGCTGTCGGACAGATGTCGTGTTACCGTTTAAAAACTTGTAAACAACTGCAAACAAATATCAGCATTCCGAACTGCAAACAGATAACAGCATTCCGAACTGCAAACAGATAACAGCATTCCGAACTGCAAACAGATAACAGCATTCTTAACTGCAACAGATAACAGCATTCCGAACTGCAAACAGATAACACCATTCCGAACTGCAAACAGATAACACCATTCCGAACTTCAAATAGATAGCACAATTCCGAACTGCAAACAGATAACAGCATTCCGAACTGCAAACAGATAGCAACATTCCGAACTGCAAACAGATAACACCATTCCAAACTGCAAACAGATATCAGCATTCCGAACTGCAAACAGATAACAGCATTCCGAACTGCAAACAGATAACAGCAATCCAAACTGCAAACAGATAACAGCATTCCGAACTGCAAACAGATAACAGCATTCCAAACTGCAAACAGATAACAGCATTCCAAACTGCAAACAGATAACAGCATTCCAAACTGCAAACAGATAACAGCATTCCGAACTGCAAACAGATAATAGCATTCCGAACTGCAAACAGATAACAGCATTCCAAACTGCAAACAGATAACAGCATTCCAAATTGCAAACAGATAGCAGCATTCCGAACTGCAAACAGATAACACCATTCCGAACTTCAAATAGATAGCACAATTCCGAACTGCAAACAGATAACAGCATTCCGAACTGCAAACAGATAGCAACATTGTGCTGTCGGACAGATGTCGCTGTCGGACAGATGTCGTGTTACCGTTTAAAAACTTGTAAACAACTGCAAACAAATATCAGCATTCCGAACTGCAAACAGATAACAGCATTCCGAACTGCAAACAGATAACAGCATTCCGAACTGCAAACAGATAACAGCATTCTTAACTGCAACAGATAACAGCATTCCGAACTGCAAACAGATAACACCATTCCGAACTGCAAACAGATAACACCATTCCGAACTTCAAATAGATAGCACAATTCCGAACTGCAAACAGATAACAGCATTCCGAACTGCAAACAGATAGCAACATTCCGAACTGCAAACAGATAACACCATTCCAAACTGCAAACAGATATCAGCATTCCGAACTGCAAACAGATAACAGCATTCCGAACTGCAAACAGATAACAGCAATCCAAACTGCAAACAGATAACAGCATTCCGAACTGCAAACAGATAACAGCATTCCAAACTGCAAACAGATAACAGCATTCCAAACTGCAAACAGATAACAGCATTCCAAACTGCAAACAGATAACAGCATTCCGAACTGCAAACAGATAATAGCATTCCGAACTGCAAACAGATAACAGCATTCCAAACTGCAAACAGATAACAGCATTCCAAATTGCAAACAGATAGCAGCATTCCGAACTGCAAACAGATAACAGCATTCCGAACTGCAAACAGATAACAGGATTCGGAACTGCAAACAGATAGCAGCATTCCGAACTGCAAACAGATAACAGCATTCTTAACTGCAAACAGATAACAGGATTCCAAACTGCAAACAGATAACAGCATTCCAAACTGCAAACAGATAGCAGCATTCCGAACTGCAAACAGATAACAGCATTCCGAACTGCAAACAGATAACAGGATTCGGAACTGCAAACAGATAGCAGCATTCCGAACTGCAAACAGATAGCAGCATTCCGAACTGCAAACAGATAACAGCATTCTTAACTGCAAACAGATAACAGGATTCGGAACTGCAAACAGATAGCAGCATTCCGAACTGCAAACAGAGAGCAACATTCCGAACTGCAAACAGATAACACCATTCCGAACTGCAAACAGATAACAGCATTCCGAACTGAAAACAGATAACAGCATTCCGAACTGCAAACATACCGTAAGCGAGCACAACAGCTCTCCTGACAGAATACCCTCCGACGTCAGCGTAGTGAACTGTAGCCTCGACCTCTATGTCTTGAGTGACTGGCCACTGTAGGGTGCTGGTATACTCAGAACCTGGGGGCAGGGCTGTTAGCTCAGTTACCACTTAGTAACCACTTAGTTACCACCTAGTAACCACTTAATAACCTGTGCTTATTAATCAAACCTACTTGAGTTAAAACAGTTGTCTTGGGATATTGTATAACCAATAACAAGGGCTCACTATTTAGGTCGCAATATATTTCAATCTCTTCACTTTTTACGTTTTTTAAAGTAGAAGTGACTTGCTGGTGTAAGTTACTAATTAGTAAACACTTAGTAACCACTCATTAACCACTTAGTAACCACTCATTAATAAAGTAGAAGTGACTTACTGGTGTAGGAGCCAGAGAATTGTATAGTTCTCAAACTGTTGACCTTCCAATGAACGGCAGGCACGTTAGTTATGTAGTTTGCAGTCAGGGTAAGGAGCGCCTCCTCTCCGATCAGCACGTAGCGAGAACTATCTACTTCCAGAGTGGGTTCATCTGTGCAAAAAGTTTATTAAATTACTGATATTTATAACTTAATAACTATTAGGGTATATTAGATGGCAGATCGTTTTCGTGTAATGTGATATACATGATCTGCAATATCCTCAACATTGACTTACCAACGATATAGATCTTTGCTAAATCAGATTTGATAACTACATCAGCTCCGTAAGAAACAGAACAGCTGTATTGAATCTCCTTCACCTCCTCACCCACACTTATCACTTCTCCTCGGAACCTCACCGCATCACCATGGTGATCACCGTCACTGATCTGCACGGCACCTTGTGACAGATCACATGACACCTTGACTCCGTCCTGGTGCCGAACACTGAATACCACCTCAGTCAGCTGTCCTCTCTTGACCACGATATCAGATACTACGTCAATGAATCCCAGTAGTTTGAGGGGAGCGGGTTCTGATCCGTACACTGTTAGATCTGACAGGATGGAGGCAGCACAGCGGTACTCTCCCATGTCAAAGGTGAGAATTGAGTTCAAGGTTAGGTAACTGTAGGATGTGACGGATCCAGGCACGTGACTAACACTGAAATAATACAAACTTAGGTTATATACAGACAAATATATTCTTACCTTTTTAAAGGGCCGAAGCAAGGCGATTAGCCCTGTGAAAGGTAAGATGTCAATAAAATGATTGAAAATAAACATAATCTCACTCATATAAAACTAAGATGGGATATAAAATACACCACCCAACAAAATCATACAAAAATATGTAATATTTAGACTACCCTTGGAGTGAAGTGCTTAAGTGTGTACCATATGTGTACAGATACACGAGTATTCCATAATACTTGCACTTATCTCCCACCCCAGTATAAAATAATCATATTCTTACTCATATAAAACCAAGATTGGATATGAAATAAACATAAGGAGGCAAGGGAGGGGGGGGGGGGGGGGTCGTTATGAAATTCCTCTCGAAATTTCATGATTGAAGAGAGTAATATCTATTTGCTGCTTTTGATCCCATGGAAAAATATTGTTCCTAGCCGAAGTAATTTCCGGTCAAAGGTCAACGCTCATGTGTAATTGTAGATTTGTATTGCGCGAGCGATTTTCAATCGCGCAATATAAATTTACAATAATAATAGTAATCGAGTCTAAAAATCTATTTTCTCATACATTTTTTGAGTTGTCACCTTGAAACGTTTAGGATATATGTTCTAAGGACCATTTAAAAGATTCCTATCGATCAGAATTTATAGCTGATAGGCCTTGGAAATTTTTTTATTCGATTTTGAAAATATTGGATCTCGTTTTTTGACGATTTTTCCAGGTCCAAGATTTTCAAAATGGAATAAAAAGGAGAAAATTAATTTTTAAACTCAATTTTCAGGGCGCACGATTGAAAATCGCTGGGCAATACAAATACAATTACAGAATTACTCATGAGCGCGGTGCCCTTTGAAATTGACCGGCAATAACTTCGGCTACGGTAGGAACAATATTTTTCCATGGGATCAAAAGCAGCAAATAAATATTACTCCCCTCTATCAGAAACAACTATAAAATCAATTCCGAGAGAAAATTCACCTGCCCCCTTAAACTATATAAAACTAAGATGAGATATAAAATAAACATATTTTTACTCATATAAAACTAAGATGGGATATAAAATAAACATATTCTCACTCATATAAAACAAATAAACATATAAACATATAAAAGATGAAATATGAAATAAACATATCAACCTATATAAAACTAAGATGGGATATAAAAAGTTCTCCTTTATAAAATAAACCTCTTATCGTTGAACATAAGTTCTCCGTCCTTAGTCCAGAAGACCAGATCTGCTTTAATAGCCCCAGTAACAGTACACGTGAGTGTTATATCATCTCCCAGAGCTACAGTTTCAACAGACAAGTCCACTCCTGCGAGGATAAGCAAATGTTACACAAATCTGCAGATTATGAGGCTAATTAAATCTGTAGCCGTCTTTAAATGCTGTCAGTTCACTCGGTAAGGCTATAAGTATACCTAATATCTTAATATGTACGTAACATTGCGCACAGTGCCCGATAACGCGAACGGTGCGCGGTTGCGCACTCTAGGGCAGTGCACTATACCTTATAACGGTGCACATTCGAACGCAAGCAACTTTCAATATCCAACTTACGGACTGGAGAGATATTTGCTCTCTCGGACTCGATGATAAAGCCTTGCTCGAAAGTAGCCTTGCAGAAGTAAGTTCCTTCCTGGCTAGTAGTCAGCACGTTGGTAGTCGCGTAACCGGTATTGTACCTCTCTGTCTTACGGCTGGGGACCTCACCTGCAATAAGTAATCAGAGTTAGTAATCGGAGTCAGTAATCAAAGTTATTAATCAGAGTTTTTAATCAGAGTTAGTAATCAGACTTAGTAATCAGACTTAGTAATCAGACTTAGCAATCAGACTTAGTAATTAGATTAGTAATCAGACTTAGTAATCAGACTTAGTAATCAGACTTAGTTATCAGACTTAGTAATCAGACTTAGTAATCAGACTTAGTAATCAGAGTTAGTAATCAGAGTTAGTAATCAGACTTAGTAATCAGACTTAGTAATTAGACTTAGTAATCAGAGTTATTAATCAGACTTAGTAATCAGAGTTAGTAATCAGACTTAGTAATCAGACTTAGTAATTAGATTAGTAATCAGACTTAGTAATCAGACTTAGTTATCAGACTTAGTAATCAGACTTAGTAATTAGATTAGTAATCAGACTTAGTAATCAGACTTAGTAATCAGACTTAGTTATCAGACTTAGTAATCAGACTTAGTAATCAGACTTAGTAATCAGAGTTAGTAATCAGAGTTAGTAATCAGACTTAGTAATCAGACTTAGTAATTATACTTAGTAATCAGAGTTATTAATCAGACTTAGTAATCAGAGTTAGTAATCAGACTTAGTAATCAGACTTAGTAATTAGATTAGTAATCAGACTTAGTAATCAGACTTAGTTATCAGACTTAGTAATCAGACTTAGTAATCAGAGTTAGTAATCAGACTTAGTAATCAGACTTAGTAATCAGAGTTAGTAATCAGAGTTAGTAATCAGACTTAGTAATTAGATTAGTAATCAGACTTAGTAATCAGACTTAGTTATCAGACTTAGTAATCAGACTTAGTAATCAGACTTAGTAATCAGACTTAGTAATCAGAGTTAGTAATCAGACTTAGTAATCAGACTTAGTAATCAGACTTAGTAATCACATTTTCACCAAACCAAAAATATTATGTCCAACTTGAACTGAAATTTCGGTTGTTTCGAACTTTAAATTATTAAATTATTTATTTAATAGGCACGTACTGGAATCAGAAGATCTGATCCAGACCAACTGTTTGAGCCCATCTCCTAGAACGCTGCAGATCAGGGTTACATCTCCCACTACAGGTAGACCGCTGTCTTTAGGCATTGTCTTGAAACCAATAAGATTTACCAGAGCTGAAAGAGAGTATACTGACTTTATAGCGACGACTAGAACTATAGTTAATTCATTAAAATCAGTAATAAGTACCGAGAAAAGGTTTTATTGATCTTTTTAAGGAACGTAAGTTATCAAACCAGGCAGACCTATTTTAGAAAACTAATAATGAAAACTAAACTGACCTTTTTTAGATAAGTATTTTTTGTCCCCTGACGAGACAACGCACTGCACGCGTGATCTCAAAGTCAAGGGTGAGGTGACCAAGATAGACTGCGTTGATGTGCTCTCAACTCCAGTGCTGATCTCTTTTTCGTTGATAAACCTAAAGTTGGGTATATTAAAAGGGAAAACTACAGGAAAAGGCACTAATCACCTATTCTAGAGTTAATGCGACCGTTAAGAAAAATTATCCACGTATAAGACCATCGTTTTACAGTCAAGTTATCTTCTAGTATTTACTATTATTACTAGTATATTACTAGTACAGTACTACTACTAATCTGTCAATAAAAGATAACACTCACCATTTGAAGGACGAGTCTGCGTTAGTAGCACAGGTAAGAGTAGCTTGTTGGCCAGATTGTAGTGGCGTGTCCACAGGATGTTGGGTAATTCCCGTATCTGATAGTAGGATCACGTGATGAAATGAGATTATTTGTAATTAATTAATCATTCGTCAATTACTAGTAAGTACGTGATAATGCAGCATTAAAAGAGACCCTGTATAAAACTAACCAGACACAGTGACTTTAGCCGACGAGGAGAGGGTTTGTCCCTGATGAGCAGCCTGGCACTTGTAGACACCCTCGTTCTCCTGGCCCACATTCTTCATTATAAGAGAGGTGGAGGTAGAGGAGAACGGGGAGCCGTTCAGAGACCAGGTTATTTCCCCCAAAGTAGGTTTGCAGTGCAGACTGACGCTGTTTCCTGAATAGTTCCAACGTCACAGTCACGGGATTGTAAGAAAGGATCATCAGCACAGTTTAAATGTATTTAATAACTTATCTATAATCTAGAACTGGGTATTTATTAAGTTAGCCCTGTAATCTCTTCAGATATCAGATTAAGATTAGTTCAGCAACTCATAACATACCTTTAGTTAAGTCCATGTCAGTGAGAGCCTCTAAGAAGCCTAGAACAGTAAGTGTAGCAGGATCTGAGACGATGGTACCTATACCGAGGTAGGTAGCTCGGCACTGGTAGTCTCCCTGGTCTTTCGGGGTGATGGTCTCCAGATTCAGGACACCGATGGCCGGGTTGGACGTTGAGGTCAGTCTCTCTCCCACCTGCAACGTTATTGTTAATCTCAAATACACGATTTGATATCTTACTACATTTCGATAATGAACGATATTTTGGTGATTATTGGATAATGGTTAGGGTGATTATTGGTTAATGGTTAGGGTGACTATTTCCGAATTTTAGTTTTCACTCACCGGTTGTCCGTTTCTAGTCCAAGAAATAATAACTATGGAATCGGAAGGAACAGTTGCAGCACAGAAGAATGTGTGATCTGAATTCTCAGAATAAACAGTTACAGTTGAGTCAAACGTCAGACCTGAAGATGTTAGATCTTTAGATAGCAAAATGATTTTATGGCATCTAATTTAAAAACAATTTTCCGTTAAAAACAGTGAATTTACGCTAAATGTAGCCGTATTAAATATTTTGCAGATGATAAACGTACCCATAACTCTTATATCAATTATGTTGCTTGGTTCGGGCTGAGCGTCATCACTCCAGACAGCAGAGCAGGAGTAAGAGCCTTCATCAGAGCCCTGTACCATTGTGATACTAGTCTCACATGAGAACTTGCCTCCTTCCAAACTGTTGGGTATCATACGAGTTATAATCTAACCATACAATATATATATAACATTATACATTATTGATTATGCGATATTAATCATAATTTATCTTGAACTCATGTAAGTGATACAGTTCAGCTCCAAAGATGACATCCATCGCGCCTCTCAGCTGGTGACTGGCAGTTGGTAACTAATGAAGGCACTTGAATGATTCGGTAACAAAAATCTGTTCTAAGTCTGAATAAATAATCGCTTGTTTGAATAAACAAAACCCTGAACGGATCAGTACTGTTAATCTGCTGTAAGTCTAAATAAACAATCACCTGAGTGGTTCAGTAGCGTTAATTTGCCTCGAGTCCTTATAGAAAAGACAAAGTTCTGGCTTAGAGGCGGCGGTTATCTTGCAGCTCAGGTCAAGAACGGAACTTTCCAGAACGTTAAGAGAGGTTGTGCTGATTTGTACTCGTGAGCAAGAAGGTTTATCAGTGCATGTCTTCAACTGAGTAACAGTAATACTCTGTCCTCCCAACTGGAAGCCCTGGTTACATCTCACTGTGACGGGTTCTCCCAGTTTAACGATCCACCCAGCAGGTGGGTCGCTCACTCCGTATCGCACCTCCTCCATCTGACACACTTGTATACAGAGAGAAGGAGCAGTAGCTCCGGTACTGGTAGTACTGGTGCCCTCGGGGCACGAAGAACACGTGCTAGTTCCCGTCTGGTCTTGGTATGTTCCCGCCGGGCAGCTCACACATTGGTCACCAGATTGGTAGGTTCCTTCTACGCACACCACTGTAAACACAAACGTTATTATTTGAATATGTTAAAAGAAATATCACTTTCATGATATAACTGGTATTAATGCTAAACTTATTGCATTGAGATTAACTCATCTCTAAACCGAGATAAGAGATGCAGACTTACTACAACTGTTGTCCAGAGGAACGGATCCAGCACCACAACGTATCTCGTCAGATCTGGTCACGTAAGTGGCGTTTCCATTTCTCGCGACTGAAACAAAATTAGTTTTATGTCCATTAATAATAAAGTACACTTATTTAATTTGCTAAAAATAAAAATTCACAAACTTCTATCGGTCAGAAAATCTAAAAATTATGATTAAAACTTACAAGCGTCGAACGACAATGTTGGGAAATCATCCTCAGCTGCTCTCCTCCTCCTTTTATTAGAAGAACACTTGAGTCTATCCATGATTGTGGTGGGTGCTTTCAAACACCTATCCTCAATACAACAAGCACAGGCTCCCACGCACGCAGCGGTATCCATCACGGTGTACGGAGCGAAGGTGGTGGACTGCGCCCACTCAGAGAACTCAGTGAAGAGTTCCAGTCTTCTGTCCGTGCCGGTGTTACCTGTCTGCTGATACCTCACCCTCAGCCAGATGAAGTTACCCGTGGTATAACAGGCGTCGTAAGCGTTATCGTAGGCAAAGTAGTCGTCGTTCTGGTGGAGAATCAAGCTTAGAGTGATAGCTAATTTAGCTTAAACGAGCGAGTGATAACTAATTCAGCTTATTCAGCTTAAACGAGCGAGTGATAGCTTATTCAGTTAATTCAGCTAAAACGTGCGATCTTATTCCCAAATTTTTTGAGTGTTTGTGTAAATCATATTCCAGTTTTCTGATAAAAGGAGTATTAAACTTACCAAACTACAGTCTCCATCAGAGAGACAAGTAAGAGAAGAAGCAGCGTTAGCCACGTGGTAAGGGAAGGCTAGTCGAGGTAGTCACCGTAGTAGTCAGTACAGGATGCCACCCAGGGTAGCTCGTAACCCACAGAGAAGGTGAGTGTGTAGGAGGTCGGCCCAACCACTCCTGCGAGGGGCAAGATCATTATGGTATGTTAGGTATGTTAGGTATGTTAGGTATGTTAGGTATGTTAGGTATGTTATGTATGTTAAGTATGTTAGGTATGTTAGGTATATTAGGTATGTTAGGTATGTTAGGTATGTTAGGTATGTTAGGTATGTTAGGTATGTTAGGTATGTTAGGTTAGTTATGTATGTTAGGTATGTTAGGTATGTTAGGTATGTAAGGTATGTTAGGTATGTTAGGTATGTTATGTATGTTAGGTATGTTAGGTATGTTAGGTATGTTAGGTATGTTAGGTATGTTAGGTATGTTAGGTATGATAGGTATGTTAGGTATGTTAGTTATGTTAGGTATGTTAGGTATGATTACTGACTTACTGAGACATTTGTTCACATTGTTGAAAGGGTTGACCACACTGTTTTGTTCCCATGTTCCGTCTGTACAAGTAAAGGTGCTCTGGGAATTTTGGAGCTGAAATATTTGGAGTTTTATAATATGAAATGAAATGAAATGAGTTACAGTATTTATATCCCGCTTATATGATTAACCAACAACAGAAGGTGGTGGTTAACCATGTCAGAGCGGCTGACTGTAAGTGACGTGAGCAAATGTGTAAAATGAACAAGAGTATAACTCATATAAGGCTAAGACAAAATTAAACATAAAGAATATAACTAATAATAATTTTAACTAAATAATAATATAACTAAATAATTAATTTAATGTTACGATATCATCACTAAATTTGTTGTGAACGTGTTTACTGTAATTAAAGCTCACAGGAAAAAGAGCAACAATGAATGCGAATAAAATATTTGGCAAAAAGGCAGTAAATTTGGCACACAAACCTTGTACCCACTATTGCACGAAACTTTACACGTGACCATGGTTTCAGTGACTGAGGAGCCGATGACGTTTAAAGATGTAGAGAAGGATGTTGGATCACATACTAATTCTCCATTATCCGGAGCTGCAAGTCGAGCACATACATCTGAGAGAGAGATGGAGTTAATGTTTAATTTATTATAAATAAATTGCAGCATATTTGGCATATATTTGGAAAATTTAACTAAGATCATTAAGGATTATTAAGATATTCAACATGTACTTACTGACTACGTTAGTATTGACTGTAACCAGTGATGACTTTCCGTAGTCTGAATAAACTGCCAGAGCACCATAAGCTCCACTATCCGTTACACTCATGCTTGGTTTAGTGTAAACATACTGGTACTGAACATAAAGGTCGGTCAGTAATAATATTATAAATACTAGACATAATGAAGAGCTTCATACATAACATTAAAATAACATACATAACATTAAAATAATCTAACGTTTTTCAATAAAAAAACGATAAAGAATACCGTCCCAGAATACGTTTATTCTTCTAATAGAGTACCTACCCCCACCCCCTTCCCCCCAATAGAGTACATACCCCCGCCCCTACCCTAAAAGAGTACCTACCCCGCCCCCTCCCCCCTTTAGAGTACCTACCCCCGCCCCCTTCCCCCTAATAGAGTACCTACCCCCCTCCCCCTTCCCCCTAATAGAGTACCTACCCCTCCCCCTTCCCCCAAATAGAGTACCTACCCCCGCCCCCCTAATAGAGTACCTACCCCCGCCCCCTTCCCCCTAATAGAGTACCTACCCCCGCCCCCTTCCCCCTAATAGAGTACTTACCCCCGCCCCCTTCCCCCTAATAGAGTACCTACCCCGCCACCTTCCCCCTAATAGAGTACCTACGCCCCCCCCCCCTTAGAGTACCTATCCCCGCCCCCCCCCCCTTTAGCCCGGCCCCTACCCTAATAGAGTACCTACTTCGCCCGCCCCTTCCCCCAAATAGAGTACCTACCCGCCCCTCCCCCTAATATAGTACCCCCGGTCCCCCAATAAAGAACTTCCCCTCCCCCATCCCTAACCTAAGCCCTCACCTCAGTAGAAGAGAGTTGGGTTCCTGCTGTACTTCCTAGAGATACTTTATAGCCGTTAAACTTCCAATTAAACTGTGGTTCAGGAGGACTGTCCGCTTTAGCCGTAAAGGTGGCAGTAGCACCAACAGTCAGGGTAGTGGGCCCAGACACCGCAGTAACACCTGATTGGGGACACGTGATCACAAGGTCGGAGAGGTGGTTATTGTAAGGATAATGAAAGTTTAATAGCACCTAATTTATTAATCTATTATTAGATGAGACCAGCCGAATGTAACCATATACCTACTATGTACTAGTACTACCTATAGTAGCCCAGGTTGCTATCCCACCTAACAAGCACTATGTACTACCTTATCGGACCTTATTTGGACGGACATTACTTGAACGCTGGAGGCCCTAGCGTTCATCTTAATGTCCGTTCAAATAAAGTCCGTTCAATTAATGTCCGTCCAAGTTAAAGTCCGTTGAATTTTTTTCAAAAATTTTTTCATTTTGAACTTTTTGTCCAGAATATGACAATTTTTTAAGTTCAGTCAATTTCAATAGCTATCATTAGACTAAACTATATTGTTGAATTATTAAAAACAAGGTATTATAAAATTTTAACAATCTGAATTGTAAATATCACATTATTGCATGATCACTATCTTGAAATTGATCTTCGACTTCTTCTACCTCCACATTTTCTCTTACAACTGGTTGTCTGTCCAACTCGTAGTCGTACCGGGCAATGAACAATCCCAACTGCTCTACTAGAGAGATACTTGAATGCCTAAAGTACAGCTTAAGGTTTATCTCTAGCCCCCAACTTGGTATAGGCGACCTTCGGTGGCTTATGTCAGCTACGATACCTTCTACCATACTACCCATCTCCATAAAGTAGAAGACAAACCGGGATATCTCACTAGGTATGTGACCGACGGTATCTAATCTAGTCCTATAGGTACCTTCGTACCTTATCTGCACAGCGCAGATAAGCTTACTGCATAAAAATGGATTTAAAAATCATTTGCTAAAATTAAAAAAACTTCTAGCGTTCATATTAATGTCCGTTCATAATTATGTCCGTTCAAGTAATGTCCGTCCAAATAAGGTCCGATAAGGTAGTACTACTTATAGTAGCCCAGGTTGCTATCCCACCCAACAAGCACTATGTACTAGTACTACCTATAGTAGCCCAGGTTGCTATCCCACCAACAAGCACTATGTACTAGTACTACCTATAGTAGCCCAGGTTGCTATCCCACCCAACAAGCACTATGTACTAGTACTACCTATAGTAGCCCAGGTTGCTATCCCACCCAACAAGCACTATGTACTAGTACTACCTATAGTAGCCCAGGTTGCTATCCCACCCAACAAGCACTATGTACTAGTACTACCTAAGTAGCCAGGTTGCTATCCCACCCAACAAACACTATGTACTATTACTACCTATAGTAGCCCAGGTTGCTATCCCACCCAACAAGCACTATGTACTAGTACTACCTATAGTAGCCCAGGTTGCTATCCCACCCAACAAGCCACTATGTACTAGTACTACCTATAGTAGCCCAGTTTGCTATCCCACCCAACAAGCACTATGTACTAGTACTACCTATAATAGCCCAGGTTGCTATCCCACCCAACAAGCACTATGTACTAGTACTACCTATAGTAGCCCAGGTTGCTATCCCACCCAACAAGCACTATGTACTAGTACTACCTATAGTAGCCCAGGTTGCTATCCCACCCAACAAGCACTATGTACTAGTACTACCTATAGTAGCCCAGGTTGCTATCCCACCCAACAAGCACTATGTACTAGTACTACCTATAGTAGCCCAGGTTGCTATCCCACCCAACAAGCACTATGTACTAGTACTATCTATAGTAGCCCAGGTTGCTATCCCACCCAACAAGCACTATGTACTAGTACTACCTAAGTAGCCCAGGTTGCTATCCCACCCAACAAGCACTATGTACTAGTACTACCTATAGTAGCCCAGGTTGCTATCCCACCCAACAAGCACTATGTACTAGTACTACCTATAGTAGCCCAGGTTGCTATCCCACCCAACAAGCACTATGTACTAGTACTACCTATAGTAGCCCAGGTTGCTATCCTACCCAACAAGCACTATGTACTAGTACTATTATAGTAGCCCAGGTGCTATCCCACCCAACAAGCACTATGTACTAGTACTACCTATAATAGCCCAGGTTGCTATCCCACCCAACAAGCACTATGTACTAGTACTACCTATAGTAGCCCAGGTGCTATCCCACCCAACAAGCACTATGTACTAGTACTACCTATAGTAGCCCAGGTTGCTATCCCACCCAACAAGCACTATGTACTAGTACTACCTATAGTAGCCCAGGTTGCTATCCTACTCAACAAGCACTATGTACTAGTACTACCTATAGTAGCCCAGGTTGCTATCCCACCCAACAAGCACTGTGTACTAGTACTACCTATAGTAGCCCAGGTTGCTATCCTACTCACAAGCACTATGTACTAGTACTACTATAGTAGCCCAGGTTGCTATCCCACCCAACAAGCACTATGTACTAGTACTACCTATAGTAGCCCAGGTTGCTATCCCACCAACAAGCACTATGTACTAGTACTACCTATAGTAGCCCAGGTTGCTATCCCACCCAACAAGCACTATGTACTAGTACTACCTATAGTAGCCCAGGTTGCTATCCCACTCAACAAGCACTATGTACTAGTACTACCTATAGTAGCCCAGGTTGCTATCCCACCCAACAAGCACTATGTACTAGTACTATCTATAGTAGCCCAGGTTGCTATCCCACCCAACAAACACTATGTACTAGTACTACCTATAGTAGCCCAGGTTGCTATCCACCCAACAAGCACTATGTACTAGTACTATCCTATAGTAGCCAGGTTGCTATCCACCTCAAC